AACCCAATAGTTCTCAGACTTGAGTGTGCAACAGTATGCCCTGGAGGGCTTATTAAACTAGTTTGCTGGGCCCCACTCCCAGAGTTTCCTGTTCCGTAAGTCTGGGATGTGATTCAAGAATTTGCATTTCTAATGAGTTCCCAGGTGTTACTGATGCTGCTGGTCCAGGCACCACACTTGGAGAACCATTATTTTTAAAAAATCAATTTCCAAAATCTCAGCATCCATCTATACAGTTTTTATCCGGGAGGTGCTTGAGATCAGACACTTGCCTTTCCACACTGTGGAGTATTGCCTGAGATGGGTGCCGAATGAGCAGGAAATTCCGAAAAGCAGAGTTCCTACAGGAGAGTCCCCATTAGACTGAGAAAAGTGGGTTCAGTAAGAAATAGTGATGGAAGGATGCAGAAGGGGCCTTTTGGGAGCTGACAATACCACGTTCATCTCAGTGCTGGTTACGTGGATGTGTTCAGGGCGTGAAAATTCATCAAATGATCTGTACACTTCTCTGTACGTGAGGTATGTTTCAATAAAGCAGCTTTTTTTAAAAAAAGGAAAATGTGATGCTTTATCTCATTGAAACTTCTCAATGTGCCTTCTCAGCTGTTTTAGAAGGCAGAAGTCACTCTATGAGGGCAGGAATTCTTCAGGGCTGGTCACTGCTGTACCCCAAATACCTGGGAGAGTGGACGCTTGGTAAGTACTTGAATAATTGGAAGCAGGAATGAAATGAGATGGTTCTCCTGAGAAAATCCCAGCACTTTGATTTAAACTGAAAAAAATGAAGTCAGACTGTTTCTGATAGGCAGCAATTCTGTTTTAGCTGACTGGTTTGATTATGAGGGTAGGCTTTGCCAATGAGGTCACTTGGAGAGCGTTTTTCATAAATGGAATAAGTGAAGCCTGCATCTCCATGGTTTTGGTGGAAACATACTGGAAAGATAATTATAATATATAATAAATTAGAAATCGTTGCTTTTGCAACTATTTAAACTTGCGACTAAAAAATTGGGGATGTATAGTTTTTCAAAATTGTTTTAAGGTTATATATGCAAAAAAAATTGAGGACCGTTTATACTGGTTTCCTATTACTGCTGTAAACTGCTGTTTCCTATTACTGCAGATTGCCACAAACTCAGTGGCTTATGACCACAGAATATTGGGGGTGCTTGGGTGGCTCAGGTCACCATGTCAGGGCCCTGGGATGGAGCCCCATGTCAGGCTCCACACACAGCCTGCTTGAGATTCTCTGTCTCCCTCTCCCTCTGCCCACCCCCCCCCATGCTCTCTCTGTAAAATAAATGAATCTTAAAAAAAAAAAGAGACAACATAATATTGTACACGTTTAGAGGTCAGTCAGACTCATTTCAGAATGGGTATCACTGAGCTAAAACCAAGATTTTAGCAGGGCTGTGTTCCTTTATGGAGGCTCTAGGGGAGAATCTGGGTTCTTGCCTTTTCTGTCTTCTGAAAGCTGCCTGCATTCCTTAGCTCCTGGCCCCCTTCCATCTTCACAGCAACGACGGTCAGTTGAGTTTTTGTCATGATGCCAACTTTCCGATTCGACCTCTGTCTCCTTCTTCCCTATTTAAGGATCCTGGTGATTGATTACCCTAAAACAATCTCCCTTTAAAAAAAAAAAAAAGATTTTATTTTTAAGTAATCTCTCCACCCAAGGTGGGGCTCGAACTCACAACCCTGAGATCACGAGCTGCATGCTCCACGTGCCGAGTCAGCCAGGTGCTCCCAATCTCCCTATCTTAAACTCAGCTGATTAGAAACCTTAGTTCCCTCTGTAACCATAATGCTCCCCTTGCCATATGATGTAACATAATCCTACGCAGCGGGAATGAGGACACGGACATCTTTGGGGGACTGTTATTTTGCCTACCATACCACTATTCTGTATCACCCTTAAGAGATACCCATCTAGTTTCTGCATTGTGAGGCCAATCCATTTTTTCCTTCCTTCTTTTCTTTCCCTAAACAAGTTGTTACTTTTTTTTTTTACCGACATACACTTATCGTGCAGTAAACTGCACAAGTCTTAAGTGTCCAGCTTATCAAGTTTTACATACATGTATCTCCCCATAATCACCACCCAGATCAAGACAGAGAACATTTCTGCCCTTCTAGAGAATTCCCCTTCCCAGTGCGACTTCCCAGTCAATATCCCCTTCAAGAAGTAACCACGACTCTGACTTTTATCACCATAGACTAATTTTTCCACTTCACGGAATGTGTATCAACATAATCATATTGGGGGTGCCTGGGTGGCTCAGTTGGTTAAGCGACTGCCTTCAGCTCAGGTCATGATCCTGGAGTCCCAGGATCGAGTCCCGCATCAGGCTCCCTGCTTGGCAGGGAGTCTGCTTCTCCCTCTGACCCTCCCCCCTCTCATGCTCTCTCTCTCTCATTCTCGCTTTCAAATAAATAAATAAAATCTTAAAAAAACAAAACAAAAAAAAACATAATCATATTGAAGTTGCTCTTTTTAGCCTGGCTCCTTTCACTCAAATGCCTAGGAGATTCACCCATGTTGTGCGTGTAACAGTAGTTTCTTACTGTTGGGTTACAGTCTATCGTATGACTGTTTGCCCATTTGTCCATGCAATTTCCTGCGGGTGATGTTTCTGAGCTTCGTAACCCCATTCTTGTCTCTTTGTGGTTGTATGCAGCCATCATTCTGTTTCTGAGCACCTGCTGTGATGTCCCTTCTATCTACATAGGCCTGCTTCCACTCTCTGGACTATACCCAAAACCAGAATTGTTCTTCCTGATGCCATTCCTTGAAAGGTTTGAGAGGGTGAATCTGCCCTGCCCCGCTCCTCCCAAGTCAAATATTCCTGGTTCCACCAACTTCTCATAGGCCAAGCATCCACACTACCTGGTTAGCATCGTCATGACCCAAAGGTAGGGTGATCACCAGCTGCAGCAGCAACAGTGACAAACCTTCAGACTGTGTACCAAGAAACTGGTCCTATTTTCCTGTTCATTGGCTTCTGTAAGACTCAGTTAAACATGTGGCCCCTTAAAACTGTAGTGTATTGCATCCTAGCAGGCTATATGTCAATCGTCTTCATTCCTAACTTCATCTTGTTTTTGTTATTTTTCCTTCATTCCTAGTCCCTCACCTTAAAAAACTGCTGTTCTGTGGTATTTTTATAAGCCAACTTAAAATCCCTTCGGAAACAACAACAACAACAAAAAAAGGAAGGGGGTGCCAAATGGTTAATTTTGGCTAGAGGCTTCAGGAAGTGGACAGTTTTTATTTTTTTTTTTAGATTTTTTTTTTTAAAGATTTTATTTATTTATTTGAGACAGACAGAATGAGAGAGACAGAGAGCACATGAGAGGGGGGAGGGTCAGAGGGAGAAGCAGGCTCCCCGCCGAGCAGGGAGCCCGATGCGGGACTCGATCCAGGGACTCCAGGATCATGACCCGAGCCGAAGGCAGTCGCTTAACCAACTGAGCCACCCAGGAGCCCCAAGTGGACAGTTTTTAAACGTAGATCCTACAGATGCCGTGGGGCTGCTTCAATTGAGAATACCTGCATTTATCAGCTAAAGACATTTACCTCCCCTCAAAGTTTAGCGGTTGGGGGTGGTCTGGTGTGATGGGTGCAGTTTGGGGCATCCTGGGGCGAGAGCAAGGGGGAGGCCCTAGACCCACATCCCCAAACCCCTTCCCAGGTCTTCACTTCCGGGACCACCCCAGGCTGGAGAACAGGGTCATGGGAGCACCCGCCTTCCTCCCCTCCCCGCTCCCTGGCCTGAACACCTACTCTGGAAGCGGGAGGTTAGCCCGCAGACCGCTCAATCCGTGCTCTACATCCTGGCTGCCGCCGCTCTTGCGGCTGCTCAGGAGACTGGCCTTCAATTGGCTGGGCACAGCGTCTGACACAGCTCTGCAGGCTCTCATTGGCCAGCAGTGAGGCGGGGGCGGAGCTTGTCTTGCTCTGGCTGCCGAGCCACATGCTCCTCAGGCCGAGCCGCACCGCACCGTGTAAAAGGGCGCAGACAGCGTGAGATCGGTCCCGTCGTCCTCTCTGGTCCCCGTGTCCGGCCATGGCTTCGGCAGCCGGCACGGCCTCGGGCGCGGATGACGGTGGCCGCAGGAAGCCCCGTCTGGCGGCGTCGTTGCAGATCAACCCCAGGCCCAGCTCCTGGCGGCCCACGGCCAGTCTGGGCCAACATCCCCGGGAGCCCGCGGTCACCCCCAACGCGGAGAACGACGAGGGGGGCGGGCAGCCCCAGGCCTCGGCATCAGGGGACGGTGGGCCTGGGGAGGGGGCCAGACTCGGGGACCTGGGGGCAGCCGGGGCACGGGAAGAACTGGGGGGACAGATGGGGAGGTCCCCGAGGGTCTCTGTCCCGCCTGCAGGGCCTGCCAGGGACCTCCCGACGGCGGTCAGGCAGCTGGGCCTGCAGCTCAAGGACCCGCCGCAGGGCCAGGCCGTGGCCCTGCTCACGCAGTATACAGCCAGTCTGGGCGTCTCCCTGATCTTCCGAGAGGACCAGACCGCAGGTGAGGCCCGGTGGCGTGCGACGGCGGCGCTCCCTGGGCTAACCTCCTATGAAGTAGGCGGGATCGCGAGCTGGCCTGGAGCCGAGGCGGACCTGCCAGGGAGCAGCAGCTCCACCAGACATCTAACTGGCGAGGTCACAGCAGGGGGAGCGTTATCCCCAACTGAAGCTTGGAGAGGTTAACTACCCAGCCTTTCAGCCCGGGTTTTTTTGAGGGCCAGTTACTTGAAATTCCAGGTTGCCACGCCAACACTGGAGCTCCCTAAGTGAGGGCCAGCTCCTGACTGAAAGATGTTATCGAGCATAGTTTGGTAATGGCAATAGTGCGAGGAGATGTGATCGCTCGCATGTCCTCTCCTCTTCCTCCGTGTGTCCCCCCAGCTCTGACTCAGACACACACAGCAATACCCCAGGTCCTACATTCAGGTTCCCAACCTTAAGGCAGAGCCTTCCCAGTTTCTAAGGAGATGGTAAGAGAATCTGTTCAGATGCTGGGTACATTTGTAGACTGCCTAGGAGAACCCCAAATGAACAGCTCAAAAAAAGGTAATGCATTAAAAATGTACTTGGAACTTGTCTTAATCAGGGATGGTAAGACAGCAGGCACGGAGGTGATTGTCATGATGGAAAGAATTAAGGACAGGTCCCTAGGAACGAGAGGCACGCTCACCACGCAGGTTCACAGAGGACAGGACCAGGGTTGGCCAGGAGGCAGAAGAGTGGGTAGAGAAAACTGCAGAGCCTTTGTTGGGGTTTTCTCGGGAAAGAATGGTTGAGGCAGGGTAGGTATGCTGGGTAAGCTTAGGATTGTGTAAGACAAGGCGCCAAGTAAGGTTTGGGGTTAGGAGGGTGTCCCTAGTTGCCCAGTATCTGCCTTGGGTGATCTAGGGTTTATGGTCTGGGTATGAGCTCTGGATCGGTTGGTTTCATTTCTTTTTTAAAGATTTTTTTTATCTATTTGAGAGTAAGCCCATGCACGAGTGGGGTGAGGGGTAGAGGGAGAGGGTTCGCAGACTCCCCACTGAGCTCGGAGCCCAATGAAGGACTCAATCCTGCGACCCAGAGACCTGCGACCCTGAGCCAAAAACAAGAGTTGGACAGCCAACCAACAGAGCCCCCCAGGTGCCCCTGGAGTGTTGGTTTCTATATCAAAGGTGTGTTTGTGGGGCACCTGGGTGGCTCAGTCAGTTGGGCGTCTGCCCTTGGCTCAGGGCATGATCCCTGGGTCCTGGGATGGAGCCCCGGGTTGGGCTCCCTGCTCTGAGGGGAGTCTGCTCCTCCCCCTCCACTCAAGCATGAGCTGTTCTGTAGCTGCGCAGGGCTCTAATCTCCTGTCATGTGACAGTTCCTCGGCCCACCTTTGTGTGCAGGACACTGATGTTTTGCTGTGAAAGAGAAAAAAGGCGTTGATAGTTTTGACAGTTGGGTTTCATTTCTCCACTGACCCAGAACTCCCATTTTAATATTGTATAAATCTCAGCCTTCACAGAGGTCTATACAGAGTTTGAAGCCCCATATCCCTGAGAATTCTGGACTGTCCCCGCACAGGGGACAGTATGCCTGAGCAAACAACAGCGTACACACTCCCACAACACAACACAGAGCTCCGTCACAAATACGCAGTCCCGTATTTGGAAACGGATTCCTCTCTTAATGAAAAAAGAAACTTTATCAAAAAAAGCAAAAGTGCACTGCCGAGCAAGGAGCCGTGTAAGACTGTGTGTGAAGGAGAAGCTTTGAAGACAAGACGTCGGGGGTCCAGTCCACAAAATGAAACCCATTCTTCGTGCAGTATTGCCATGAACCCACGCTTCGCATTTTGAATGCGTTCAAACATTTTGTATTTTGTGGTCATCGTTTTAATTTTGTGATTCATATTTCATGCGTCGTCACGTCCGTTCTAAATAAGAGGAATACTCCTCTTATTTCTCCTGGTTTTCTTTTATGGCAAAATTGCCTGATGGCCAGTAGTTTCGGGGTGAAGGTAGGGGTGGGGTCAGGAGGAAGCAGGCTGAGAGGGGCTGTGGCTCAGGTGGGCCCGTGGTGGGGATGGAGTGCGGGGCGCTGCCTCAGGGCCCCTCCCTCCGCAGACCCCTGCTTGCCCTTCTCTGTGCGCGCCGAGCTGGATGGGCTGCTCTGCCCCGCGGGAAATGCCAACAGCAGGTCGGAGGCCAGGCAGCAGGCGGCGCTCTCTGCCCTCCGCTACATCTGGAGTCAGCTGGAGAGCCCAGGTAAGGGGGACAGGTGACCCAAGTGGGTGCGTGCGCCGGGCTGAGTTGTCACGGAGACCATCTGGGCATCAGGGCCTCGCCTGCAGGGAGCTGGGGAGAGGGGACTGTGAGCTGACTGATGCCCTAATTCCTTTGAAGCCTGCTCACCCTGGGGGTGCAGGGACTGCTGGAGGGGCAGCCCAGGAGTTTGGGGTTGCTGGAAGATGATTCCCTCTCATTCCCACCAATTGAACGTCTTGGCTTCCAGAAGGACCAAGGACAGGTGGGCGGGCCCTGGTACCCATGGTAACCGACCCCCTTGTCTTTCTTCCAGAGCCCCCAAAGACCCCAGGCAAGCCTCCAGTCGCCCCTCTGAGTGTAGGTAGGTGGGCCCCCATTGTCCCCAGCCCTGTGGTGAGGGGAGGCGTACAGTCTGTGGGGTCCCCACCTCCACCTTCTCCCCACCGTGCAGAGAACATCCTGACCCACGAGCAGCGCTGTGCGGCCGTGGTCAGCGCTGGCTTTGACCGCCTGGTGGACCAGACCTCCCCATATAGGGCCTGTAAGGGGACTGTGGCTGCCGTCATCTTGGAGAGAGGTAGGGCTTGCCCTGCCCCCGCCTCGGGACCACCCCCACCCCCACCCCACGGACCCCTGGCCTTTGCCAGCGTGGCTCTGCCCCCTTCCCTTACAGAGGTGCCAGGCGCCAGGGGCCACGCCAAGGAGATCTACGAGCTGGTGGCGCTGGGCACAGGCAACAGCACCTACGCCAGCTGGCTGGAGTTCTCCGGGCGGCAGCTCCACGACTGTCACGGGCTGGTGGTAGCCCGCAGGGCCCTGCTCAGGTGAGGGGTGGGCCGGGCGGGTGCTTGGCTGCAGGACCCGCAGCGCGCAGAGCCCCACAGCCCGAGCCGCTCCTCCGCCTGCCTCCTCCAGGTTCTTGTTCCGTCAGCTCCTGTTGGTGACACAGGGTGGCCCCAAGGGCCAGGAACGGTCGGTACTGGCCCCCCAGCCTGGGTCTGGGCCCCCCTTTGCCCTCAAGCCCCGGATCTTCCTGCACCTCTATGTCAGCAATACCCCCAAGGGAGCCGCTCACGACATCTAGTATGTGGGGAGCCCTGGCGGGGCCCTCCGTTCAGCTGGGTGGGGAAGGGCGGTATGGGGGGGACAGAAAAGCAGCCTCACTCTTGTGTCCTACGCCTTCGCTCCCTCCGCCCACCTCTGCAGCCTCCCACCAAGCTCTGAGGGCAGCCTCCTGCACAGCCCGCCCTCCCCCCTGCAGGCCCACGTCCGCGGGGAGCTGAAGCCTGTGTGCTACGTGGCCCCCGCGCTCCGGGACACCCATGTGGGCTGCCTCTCCGCCAGTGACAAGCTGGCTCGCTGGGCCGTGCTGGGGCTGGGTGGTGCCCTGCTCGCCCACTTCCTGCCTCCCCTCTACGCCACCAGCCTTGTCCTGGGTGAGGGCCCTGGGGGCTCTGGGGGTGAGGGCGGAAGGTGGCGTCTGCGTGGTGTGTGGGAGAGGGTGTTGGTGACGCAGACCTTGTCTTGTGCCTCTGTCCCCCCAGCTGACCCCTGCCACGACCCCCCAACTCTGAGCAGGGCCATCCACACCCGGCCCGACCTAGACAGGGTCTTGGGGCCGTGCCTGCCACCCCCCTATGCCCGTACCACGCTGCACCTGTTTGCAGGGCCCCCCGTGGCCCCCTTGGATCCTGCCCCCAACACCTGCCATGGCCTGAGCCTCAACTGGAGCCTGGGGGACACCGATGTCGAGGTTGTGGACGTGGTCACCGGGCGTGTGAAGGCTGAGTAAGAAAGGCCCGTGGGCAGCATGGTGGTGAGGGGGTCCGTGGCTCCGTGCCCTTGGGGCAGGACGGTGCATCTGGGTCCCAGCTTGGGTTCTGATCCTAGCTTTGTGACCTGTAACCCTGGCTGGTGCTTCTGTCACTCACCCTGTGACACCCATGAGTCCCCCCAAGATTGCATGATGGCCAGAAAGGAGATGGCGTGAGCAGCATGGTGTGGGCCCCTTAGCTCAGTCTCCCGGCCTTCTCTGTCCATCCGCAGTGCCGGCCTCGGGCCCCCCTCCCGCCTCTGCAAGGCAGCCTTTCTCCGGGCCTTCCGCCAGGCTGCCAGAGCTCTCGGGAAGCCCCGCCTCCTGGCCTTGAAGACCTACGAGGCAGCCAAGGTCAGCGCTTGGCCACCCCTCCAGCCCGCTCTGTCCTGCTCCCGCAGCAAGCGCGCGCTCTCCACCCTCCTCCTGTCCTTTCCTAGGCCGGACCCTACCAGGATGCTCGCAGGCAGCTGGCCCTCCTCCTGGACCAGCAGGGCCTGGGGGCTTGGCCCTCGAAACCACTGGTGGGCAAATTCAGAGGCTGAAGCCCACCTCCTGAGCCGAGCTGGATCCTGCTGGAGGAGGGTCGCTTCTGGAGAGGGGTGGGGAGGCGCATAGGGGGATGGGAGATGCACGGGGCAAGGTTAGGATTGCAGGGAGGGGCTTATGTCGTGGAGGGGGGGTGGCTTGCTGCACATTCGGACTTGAATAAAGAGCAGTTTTTGGTGCTTCTACGTGTTGTTGGCTCTTTTGGGAGGAGCGGGGAACCTGCAGCCCTTTTTTGAAGGATTCATGAGCGGGGCAGCTCCACCTACCTGCAGAGAAGTGTCCCCAGGAGTGGAACAAGATGGCAAGTTTTTCTAGGAGGGTGGGGGCAAAAAGTTATTGGCCAAAAAACCCTCAAATAAATAAAAAATAATTGTTCTCGACACAGAGTTTTCTTGGAGAAAAAGCAAAATGTCTTGTGCAGATCAGCTCATCTCCGGGGAGTGGGGAAGACCCAGGTGAAAAATCTCTGATGGACCGGTTGAGACTACCCTTTTGGGGAGGTTGAAACTGCAATTATATTATGTGTTAAACCCCGGTTTGGGAACTCAGTCTAAGTGACACCATTTGGGGACTGTGGGGTTTTTTTTAAACACAGAATGACTTTATTGTGTGCCAGCCCACCTGAGTGCTCCAGGGGAGGCCCTGTGGGTCCTGGGGCAGGGCTGTGGTTGTGTGGGGGCGTTCCTTCTTGGGTGTGATTGGAGCTCCTGTGTCCCTTCCTTTCCCAGTCATGTGGGAAACAAAGGCAGAAGAAAAATGATTAAATTTCCTTACTCCCTCCAGCCCACTGACAAGTCCTTGAAACAGGCAGAGTGACATTCCTCTAGGGACTCAACTGTCTCCATGCTGACACTTTGCTGAGGGCAAAAGGCAATCCTAGCTCAACGCTCCCACCCCCCAGGATCCTGTAAGTATACTTTAAAGTATAAAAATTTAGAAATTTCCTTTATCCCTGAACCCCTCAAGATACGTGTTGGCAATCATCCCCCAAGCATGTGGCCCACCGATAGACATCTGAAGGGTCTCATGACTCAGGTTTTATTAGACGGTAATAAATGACCTTTTCCCAACAATAGCTCAAGGCCCTGGGAACGTTGCTTCCAAATTTCCTTAGAGAATGATGCAATCCCAAATCCTCTCCCAACTAGAAAGTATGTAATGGGCCATTCCTCATGACCCCGGGGGAAGCTGTTTCTGCCCACGGGTCCTGTCCCGTGCTTCGATACAACCACCTTTTTGCACCAAAGACGTCTCAAGAATTCTTTCTTGGCCATCGGGCTTCCAACCCTAAAGTTCTTTCCTACATCAGGTGGGGGAGTACAGACCGCCCAGGCAGGCCTGATTATTTCTCTCGATGAATCGACTCAAGTGCACCAAGCTCAAGTGGCTGGCAAAGGCCACACACACCCAGGGGCAGAGAGGTGGCTTGGACGGAGGGGGCACCGTCCCAGGACTCCAGCATCAGCACTCCAGCATCAGCCCCCGAACGTTGACCCAGCTTCCCAAGGCCCACCTAGGGGAGCAGTCCGTAGTTCTGAATCTTAAGACAGCTGCAGGGGCAGGGAGCCTGGGGCCACAGGGCGTGGAGCTGGGGGGCTGGCAGGATTTCAACCACCCGTGGCCCCCGGTCTCCAGACTTCAGAGCAGGCTGTGCTCCTGCTCAGGGGACACTGCCCGGGCTGGCGGGGTGCCCAGGTGTGCAGACATGTGCAGGTGTGCGTGCCTGTGTGGGGTGAGTGGTCTTCCCAGCCGAGGCCCTCAAGAGTGCCTGATAGCCCTGCCAATGCACCACAGCTCCCTGGAGGAAAAGGAAGGCTAACCCCGCAGCCGGCCCTGTGAGGCAAGCAGGCTCAGGCAATCCCTTGAGTTACCCAGGGGAGCAGCTGGGGCGGCACAGGAGGAGGACCGGGACCCCACTCTGTAGGGCTCGCTCTGTCAGCTTCCCAGGGCTGCAGTAACAAAGGACCACACGCTAGGTGCCTTAAAACAGACATTTGTTCCCTCCCAGCTCTGGAGGCCAGAAGTCTGATCAGCAGCAGGGCCGGTTACTTCCGTGGCCTCTCGGGAGAAAATCATTCCAGGTGGCCGCTTCCGGGAGCAGCGGGCCGTCCTTGCTCGGGGCGGCATCGCTGCTGTCTCTGCCCCTGTGTGCCCGGCCTCCTCCCTTTATACGTCTGTGTGTCCCTTCTAAGGACCCCAGGCATTGGATTTAGGGCCTAGCCAATTCCCGTAGGACCTCGTTTTAACTTTACATGTGCGAAGACTGCTCCCAGGTAAGGTCACTTTCAGAGGCTCGGGGGCGGGGCATGAATTTGGGGGTGAATGTTTACCTCTATACACCCGCAAGCCCAGCGGAAGGGACCCTGGGCCCTACCCTCTCACAAAAACCCAAAGGACCTTACCGGCAGGGATTAGGGCAGCAGTCTGCCCAGGGCCTGCCTCCTCTCCCCAGTGGGACCATGATGCCCGAACCCTCTGGCATCCTTCAACATGGGGCTGGTGAACCCCCATGTTGAATCCTGGTCCATGTGGGACCATGTCTGCTACCACTCCTTCCTGAGCCTTGCTGATGTAGGAAAGAACATTAGGGTTTGAGGCCAAGGGCCACGAAAGAATTCTTGAGACATCTTTGATGCAAAAAGGTGTTGGTATTGAAGCACGGGACAGGACCCGTGGGCAGAAACAGCTTCCCCCAGGGTCATGAGGAATGGCCTGTTAGATACTTCCAAGTTGGGAGGGGGTTTGGGATTGCATCATTCTCTAAGGAAATTTGGAAGCAACGTTCCCAGGGCCTTGAGCTATTGTTGGGAAAAGGTCATTTATTACCGTCTAATAAAACCTGAGTCATGAGACCCTTCAGATGTCTATCGGTGGGCCACATGCTTGGGGGATGATTGCCAACACGTATCTTG